TGTTGGAGTGCATTTCTGAAATAGGAATTTGTTTTCAGCCAGATGAATAGTTTCAGATCCCTTCAGTTCATCCTATATCATCCTAGACCAGGGGTGTCAAACTCACAACGTCACAGTGGCATCATGTGATATATTACAGCTTTTTTCCTCTTAGCTAAACCAGGAATGGGCATGGCCAGCACATGACTCATCTGACCCACAGCCCTTGAGTTTGACACCTCTGTCCTAGACATTTCTGGATTGGCAGTCTTTACTCCTTAGAATTGGCTAAATAAATTTCTTTTGATGCTTCTTCCTGGGTTGCTTGTTTTACGATGGAGATTCTGGATGCCATGAGAAGCCTCTGATAAAGAAAGTCTGTCCTCAAGGATTTTGCAAGAGTGGCTAGGTTGTTTTTTTTGTAGCAAAACTAATAGTGTTCTGGCACTTTAAAAACTATTACATCATCTTTTGTGGATTAGAACTTACTTCATCAGATCCATGAGATGATATTAAATTGGCTCTGATATATGTGTATAAATACAACTATCTAGACACATTTTAAATATAAAAAAGTACAGGCTAATAATTTTATTAAATCGTATACACGCACACATACATTAATACTATAGTTTCCATTTTCTGCACAGTTGGTAACAAACATTACAAGGTATATTATCTGCATTAGTCTTTTAGTGGTCACTAAAACATTAAATATATTTGAAGTGCAATCTATATTTCTTGCAGTTAGATTTTGACTATTCTTCCTACAGTAAATTTTTTCCATAAACAACCTATTTATAGTATTAATTGGCCAATTTGGGATAATACTTCATCTATTGAAGTTGACTTGTCCACATAAATCTATGCCATAATATATTTGCTTGTCTTTAATGTGCCACAAGACTCAGTCTTTTCCTCTAAAGATGCACCTTTTGCCCTTTTCCACGCTAGATCAGTGAGATGGTATCTTCATCTGAGTGGGTTGCAAGACATTCTTATAAGTAAGTGGATATTTATTGAACAATCTGGCTCCAGAACTCAGTGGTAAATCTTCCAACTGGAGGTGGGGGAGAAGACAAGGGAACCCTTCATACCTCCCAGCTTCCTTCACTCTCAGTCTGTCTCCTAGTGTTCATGAGTTTGTTTTTTCTGTCCTAGATTCCCCTTTCAAGCTCTTGCCCCTCAATTTGTTTTCTGGTATATAGCATTCACAGTGTGATGGTTCTTGTTTTATAGGTGACTGTTTGGTTTTCCTGCTGTGAAGTGTGTTTTCGTTTTGTTGTTTTGTTTTGAATGGGGCATTTTGCTTGATGCAACAGGTGGGGAGTGTCGCTTTCTACCTGGATGCAGAACAGCTCTGTGAAGTAGAATTCCGCCCTCATGTGGCTGGCTTTGGGTGGGTGGGAAAGGTAGGGTTGTTTTATGTCGTGGTGAATTATGTAAAAGTGATATTTTGGATAATGAAACAACTTTTTCTTTCCAGAAAAAAGCAAGAAAAACTGCAGGTTAAGAACTGAGGAATGTGATGGTTAGCAATGGGTATAGGCTACTCAGATGTTAGGTCCTTGTGGAATATGTTCCTGGATGAAATCGATGCAGGAGCAGGAGGGAATGACGTACTGTGCATAGAAGACATTAAACATTTGTTGTTCCTTGTGTCATTGATCAAGTTTTCGCATCTGCTGTACACTGGCACATCCCAGTGAAGTAGGATAGGTAGCATTTCACTATAATCTAGCAGTAAGCAGAGCTGGCATATCTATATATTACTTTCACTTGGACTAGTAGTGTGTTCCAGTGGTACCCCTTGTCTTCTGTGCCAGTGAAGATAGAAGCACTTTCTGACAACTTGCCTTTCACCTCTTTCTGATCTCTCAAACTGTATTTTGTTAGTAAAATAATTAACATGCAGGAATCTTCCTTTCTGGTTTAATAGCACTGCTGCTGTTTCCTGTAATATAACAGGTGAACAGCTGTGACTGCTCATACAAAGGATTGCTCCTCCCTATACCGAAAGGATCACACAATGGTCTAGCTGTGAGCTTCAGGGAGGTTCTTCCAAGTAGTGAGGACTTTTCCCCCTTCCAGGTCTGATATACAGTATATGTGAGCTCTAGATGCTTGCAGCTGACGCTTGCAGGAATGAGAGGCACTGCACAGTTGAGTGAATAGTCTCCTGATTCCCAATAAAGATACGTCACTATCTGGCTATGCAAAGGTGTTTGGGATTCCCGTGCCATTTCAAGTGCGACTTGTCCTTGTCCTCACCTGCGGTTTGCTCTGAATTTATTACATCCTTTGTCAAACTGGAATATTATGGAGAAACTAAATTATACTTGGTGTACTTAATTGAACTGAACTGATGGACTGCTCCTCCCCACTCTCTAAATGTTGAAGATAGTCCTTAAAAATATTAATGGAAATGACTTCACTACTGCTTTAAAATATTTGTTTAAAAGGTCGGGGAGGAACATTTTGATAATAAGAAATTCAGTCTCCAAAGCTGATACAACTGGAGATGAATTCTATATGTTAGGGGTGTAAAAGCATACTGTCATGTTCTGGGTCTCTCCTGTACAACAGTCGAAACCCAAGTAATTAATCAGTATTTATTGCTAAATTATTGTCCTTTTTCAATCTGTAGATAACTGTTGGGGATTTGTTGCCACAGCCCCAGTGGAGGTGTTGTTAATTTATTTATGTATATAGTGTATGTTGATATGAAGCATTCTTTATTTTGTATATGACCAATAAACATCTTTAAAGAGGCTGGCCCCTATGATATCACTGAGCAGGTTTGGGTTGCTAAACTTGTTCTCTGTTGCTGACAAGAACTTTGAACTGTTTGCATGCATTGTGTACCTAATCTGCTCCTTGCTGCTTGAAAAGTCAAGTTAGTCTCCTGTTTGGATTTGGAAGTTTCCCAGGAATTCTTTCCAGCTCAAAACATTGGTGAGATTGTTTTATTATAAACCGTCCAGATTATTTGCTTCAGGGTTGTATTTTTATTCAACATCCCTTTCCTCCAAGAATGAATAAGTTATATTCAATATTTTGTGGTGGATAAATATACTTATTCAAATAGCATATTCATTGGTCTTTAGTACGGAAAACCACATATTACTTTCTAGTGAAATCAGGTTACTGTCCTTGACATAAATCTCCCTGTCTTTGGATTATTTCTGTACTTTAAAATTTTTAAAGCTTGAAATAATGCATATAAATATGCAAATCTCTGGGCTTGTGCTCTTTAACTAGGACTGACACATCTGGGTTGTAATAATCCAGATGACCACTAAACAACAACAAAGAGATAGCTATTTGCTGCCATCTAATTACCTAGATTTCTGCAGCCCAGATAAGGCAGCCAGTTTAGATTTTATATAGCATCTTTTAAAAAATTCACTCATATTAAAACAACACTATTATTCAGGATACTGTGGTATGTGCTGGAGTTGGGCTAATATAGGATTTAAGAATAAAGTGAACACTTTATTCTTAAATCCTTGATAAGCATAATTATAGGTAGTGATCTAATTTTTCTTAATTGTGTATTTCTTAGCAATGCCTATATCTAGCATTGTTGATGGTTCTCTTCAACTTTGTTGTTTGAAAGAAACCTATAATTACAAAAACAAATATAAGAAATGTTTCTGTGCCGAAGTTTCAGATTTCTCTTTCAACGCTTAACTAGACAAGGTCTAGTCTAAGATAGTGTGGCAAATAGCACTGAACTATTTTATGTCAAAAATAATGCATCATAAGGGCATCTGAAGCAATGTAAAAACAAAATTATAAAAACCTCTGTCCATTTCTGGTAGTAAAAATGTTTTGTTCTCTACAGATCACATTAGCCTAACATGATGAAGAAAAAGGAATCTGGATATTATCTGGATCTCTAGTATGGGAAGCACATACCTCTAACAAAAGAGCAAATGGTAGTAAGCATTTAAAAATGGGTGCATTTACATGACCTATTTAGGCATGGTTCATTCAACCCAATTTGCTGGATTCACGTGACATTGAATACAACCCAAACCAACACCCTAAAGCAAAGTGCTATGGTAAAGCTAAAATGCAGTTGACTACTTTGTGGTTCAGTAAGTTGTGCAAACATGGCCATTGGCAAGCTTACTTCAAAAAATGTGCACTTTTTTTGCCTAATACAATCAATAGTAGGTTAACTTGTTGCTGCAAGAGCTTTAGCTTTCATGTAACAAATCCAAGAGAATGGCAGTATGCAGCGATAAAAGAAGCAAAATGTCCAGGTCCTTTAAACATTAAATTACAAGCTTTTGCATAATAGTTCACAACACTAAAAATGGAGTGGTTGATGAAAGCTTATGCAGAACCTTGGAGGCCCAAGAGAACAGTATTTTTAAACTTTTCCCTAATATGAGGCCTTTCTTCACTCTGCCAAATTTCCCCTTGTATTTTTTAATACATTAAATAAGGTGATATGGTTGGCTTTGGCCGTTGGATTTGGAAAGGGAAAAAAACTATTCCATTTTTTCTTACTCAAATAAGACCAACAAAATGTTTATTCGCATCCTCCAAGTTAGTGAGTTAAATGCCGTTGAGCAATCCATTTCCCGTTATATTCCTATGCAACGTTCAGCAGTAGACTATAGTTCCTGGTTACGGGAATAAGCTAACCAAAATAAGCATCGTCACAGAAGACTTTGCGCTTGAAAGGATTGGATTGCACATAATGGAATTTGCTTTGAGGCGGAAAAAAAACCGATAGAATTTCACACGCAGCCACCACGGGGGGGGGGGGGGGGGGGGGGGGCGGAGAAGGCGGGGCCGGAGCAGCGCAAGTATCGTACACAGCAGCATCGTTTTTAAACATCCAATCCGAAAGAGAGCGCACTTTCCCAAGCAAGCAGAGAGCAGGAATTCGACCCTATTCTCTATGGAGTAATAGAGACGGCAGTCTTGTCTTCATAGGAGAAGTCCAACCGGAAGTAGCTGGTAGAGCCTGTGACCTAACGAAGAGCCTGGCAACAGCAGCGAGCTTCATTAGGCGTCCCCAGGGCAACAAGCAGTCGCCGCCGAGCGTCGTCCATTGCCGGAAGCGGAAGTGGCCGAACCCTCCTCTCCGGCCGATTAAAAACCCGGAAACTAGCCAGGGGATGGCGGCCGGTCGAAGTTTGAGTCGCTCGGAGCGGAAAGCGGCGGCTCGCGTAGAATTCCTCCGTCAAGAAGAGCAGCGGGAGCAACGGAGGCAGGTAGTGCCGGGTGGCCAGAAATCAAGGCGGGGCGGCGCTTCTCGAGGCGCCGGCTTGGGCAACACGCCCCCTTTCCCTTCCTCTCTCTTTCCCTCGTTCGACCAGGTGTCCCGAATCCTGCGCAAACCGGCGGCCGACCGGAGCGCCGACGAGGCGATGCTTCTGTCTGGATGTCAAGAGATGGTGCGGGATCTGGAGCGGCTTCGCAAGAAGCGCGAGAGGCTGCGGCGCCGGCTAGAGGAGGTGGGTACGTCTATGCCGTGCCCTTTGATGGACGCCAGGGCTTGCTCTCGTGAGCCCCAGGGATATTCTTTTTTCCGCCTGCGATTTATTTTTGTTTGTATCCTCAGTTGAGAAGTTTGATTGATGGTGGCTTAACTAGGTAGGAGTTAAATCCTTTTTGCCAGATCTGAAATCAGCTTCAAAGGTGTGGAAAATTAGCTGTGCTTTGGGTGAAAAAAGTAAAAGTTAGGTGATTGGCAATGCCTGGAAATATAGGCACAATTGATTATATGCTCTCAAGTGGGTGTCCATAAATAGATTTTCTCCAGAAGGGTCTGATCCTTATACAGTGCTTTAGATGGTCCAATGGTTCATCCATCACCACTGTGACTGAAGGCACCTGACTTGTGGCTGGTTAACCTCTTCATTCCCCACCCACCTACCTTTCTCAGCATTATAGGGTTCAGTAGAAAGTAGATCTTTGCATAATGTGTTCAAAGTATGGTAATTTCATCCTGGGCATTTATGCCTCAAATTAAAATTCTGGATTGAATTACTTGATGATCCTTTTGTTTGTTTTCTGGGCTGTCCACGTTATTCTCAGAAGTCTTTTCTAGTGTCAAGAGTTCATGGGTGTCAAATTTGACTTTGAAAAAGCAGAATTTTGATTCTGCTTCTTTAAAATCAAATTTCCACTTCATACAGTGTCATGAGGAAAACTTGCCTGCACAATTCTGGTCTTTATATGCAGGATAGGGATTGGCAATGGGGCAATAAATTTCATTAAGAATAGTTTTTCATAAACCAATTGATGACCCCTGGGTCATCCTTTCACAGATATTTCCTTACCAGATTCCTCAATATGTCCAATGGTGAGAATTTTTATAGCTCAAGATTAAACGGTGGGGTCCTTTGTGCTCTCTGTGCTTGGTGGTTTTCTTGTAGATGTTTCATTAACTAAGCTAGGTAACATCATCAGGGCTATCAGTGCTCATCATTAGTGTTAGCACTGATGATATTACCTAGTTCAGTAATAAAACATCTGCAAGAAAACCACCAAGCACAGAGCACCAAGGACCCCATGGTTTCAGCAGTGACAGAGCTTGTAATGGCTTCTAAAGTACAGCCTTCACTGAAAAAGCCAGGATACATTGAGAAATGTATCTGCCTTGAAACTAGCCCATGCTGAACTGTATAGCACAGTCAAACATTAGCACAGGAAATGTGACATAGTACAAAATCATTTTATATATCTATATCATAAACTTTTATTATCATTTTATATCATAAAATATGTTATAAAATTTGTCAAATTTCAATCCACAGGAGCAGGGGTGGGTTTCTACCGGTTCTGTCCACCTCTGCAGAACTGGTAGCTCTGAAGAGCAGCAGACATAGAACCGGTTCTATGTCTGCTGATGTTTTTGCTCACCTGCCCACCTGGGCTCTTACCTGATCTTTATTTCCTGATTTTTCAACTTCAGCTGCCGAACTGATGCACAGCTGCAGTTAAAAAAAACAAGGAATGAGGGCTGTTTCAAAGGCTGCTTCTAATGACAGTTAAGGGGGGGGGGCAGGGAAGCTCATAAATTCCCAACAGGTAGTTAACCCTGTAGTATCCCACCCCTGCACAGGAGTCACATTTCAATTCACAGGTCCTTGATTTTAGATGCATTCTGTAAGTTAGCCCACTTAAGATACCTTGGTTGAAAACGTTTTGCCCTATAGTGCATTGTTTCATCCAGCTAAAGGTTACAAGAATCAGAATTTAAGTAGAATACAGTAGTATATTCAAGAATGGCTGGAAAGTATTTTAATTACAGGAAAAAAAACATATGGCACAATAAATCTGTCACATCTGTAAGACTTGTGTGTTTGGGGAGGTAAGATAACTAACAGCACTTAACTATATTTTTCATATAAAGTACTACTGCTGGAAAGTAGTAATATATTTCACTAGTACCTATTCAGTTGAATTTAGACAGTAGAAATGTTTATCTAATTTTCTTTGTAAATAAATATGCACGGCTTTTTATATTGTCCAGAATTTGTGAGAAAATTTTTCTCATTCAACTGATTTTCTGCATTTTAAAAACTTCTGATTACTTTTGTTAAGGGTCTGCTTGGACACCTTTTCCATTATTACAATTTTTTGATGTTTGGCTTTTAAATAATTAATTTATTTATTTAGATATGGGTATATAAAAAGCTTCAAATGTAGATTAACCTATAAATGTTTAGCATAAACACCTCTGAATGGATCTCAGTGTGATGCTTGTGCTCATGTTGAAGAAAATGCAATTTGCTCCATTTCCCTGAATGTCTTTCTGAAATTTTGGTTAGCATTTAAAAGCTATTCATGAGGATAAGTGGCAGAAGAAAACTGACTGTAAATTAAACAAACAATGGAAGTTACTTCTATAGTTTCTTCAGGAGAAATTTTCACTTGATTTCATTTCCAATTGTGAACTGAAGGCCTTTTGTTTCTGGAAAGGCAGATCTGGATCTACCCTTCCTTAACCAATTAAGTTGGTTGCCCTTGATGGGCTTTAAGCAACCTAATTAACTATTGAACTGGTTTTGCTTGTTGAGAATGTTGTGGTTTTCTTTGCTGACAGACAAAACTAGATGAGATTTCTGCCAAATTCACAGAAAAGGAACTTGTTAGTTTATCTGTATCTCTTTTTGGGGGTAATTAGTTTTCTTCTACTTTAAGAAAATTCTTATTCTTTTACTATTAAGAAAGGTAATAATTAAAGGCAGAGATAATAGAGATAAATATATTAATGAACAATTCCGGCATGTTTCACTGAAGCATCAAGTAGATTTATAAGTACATGGTAGGAGAGTCAGTGTTTATTCAGAAGAGTATATAATTTCTAATTTGGCTACTTGATATTGTAAAATTCAGTCACTGCTTTTATCCACATTTCATCATCATGAAAGAATATAAATGATGTTTAAAAGCTTTCCAATTAAATTACTTGTGGTAATGGAATGCATGGGAGATCTCGAAAAAAGAGGATATGAGATCCTGCCTGGGAAACAATCAGATAAGAGGGGCAGGAGCCCTCAGTCACTTATCAGAGAAGGAAACTAAGAAAGACCCATCCTAATAGAACAAGCAGATAAAAGTGGAGGGCAGGAAGTTCGTGCTTTTGGATTGCAAGATTGATACTGGCCTTCTCTGGTAAACCAGACAGGAAACACAACTAGATGAGCTAAAGTTCTTTTTCTTTTGTAAGGAATGGACAAAAGCAAGGAAAGATGTGTGGATTTTATCATTTTGGAAAATATGAGATTTTTACTCCTTTTTTTAGGTGTGTGATGAGCCTGACGAATTGAAGAGAAAAGTCAGCAAGCTATCTGCTGTTGTCCAAGGAGCTAAACATCTTATTGTATATACGGGAGCTGGCATAAGTACGGTAAGGTTGTATCAATGTCCCTTCTAAAATCATCAGCAACAAAAGATTCTTATAATTACCTAACTTGCTTATCATATAAGAGCAGCATTGTTTTGATATTTGAAAATTCTTAAACCTCCTAAGTCACACAACACAAGTTGAAATAATTGGCTTCATTAACTTGCGTAGAAACACAACTTGAGAGCATTTTGGCATTTTAAGTTATGACTTTTATATTTATATTGATACTAGCATTGTAAAAGTTGGGGAAAATGGGGGGTGGGTCAGAAAAGCTTTTCATTTTTCTTCCCAATCTCTTTGGAAAAAATGCTACTTTTTCTGCAATCCCTCTCCTAAAAAGTTCAAAAAGTTTAGATTGTGTTATAAATCAAAGAAAAGTGTGTGTTCATAGTACTCATCATAGGTAGCATTCCAAAGCAGGGCATTGATCACCAGTGTAATCTCTTTTGGTATCCTTAAAGACTGGTAGAAACAAGTAGGATTCTGTATACCGTATTTGCCGGCGTATAAGACGACTGGGCGTATAAGACGACCCCCCAACATTTCCACTCAAAATATAGAGTTTGTTATATACTCGCCGTATAAGACTACCCCCTCTTCCACACACCTTCCACTTTTGCACTTTTTTTTTTTTTGACGCACTTTTCTGCTTTGGACAATTTTGAAATGAGCTAATCCAATTTTGAACCAAGAATATGCAAATAGCTATGGAGTTTAGAAATGAGTTTTAAAAATATTTTTCATTGCTTACCATTAAGCGTAAAATATGTTGTAAATAAAATGAGAACACAGGAAACGTTCTCTTCTCAATACAGCTGATCTCTCTCTCTCTCTCTGTCTCTCTCTCTCTCACACATACACACACACCAAAAACCCGGACGCTGAAAAGGCTGCCAAGGAACAGTATATTCAATGCCTTCTCTTTAATCAAGAAACAAGGAATTCCTTAGAATCTTTTTTTTTCCCCAAGTGGCCCTCTTTAAAAAAAAAAATGGAGGTAACACTTTCATTCAAAAAGTCTTCCAGTATCTGGAGTCGCTCAGACATATTGAAGTGAGGCAGGAGAGTAAGTGAAATTTGAAATGATCCAGCTACCGTTTTCTTCCCCTCCCGCCCGAAGGCCATTATCTCCACGTCAAAACGAACGAGGGGAGGCAAAGAAGCCAAACACGCTAAAAAGGATCTCTTTATTTTCCTACACAAGGTCACATCTACTTTTCCGCATTCAAAGGACAACCTCTCCTCACCACCACCACACACACACACACACACCCCAATACCCGCAAACAATGTTCTGGGCATTAATCACCATTGCTACATTAACCTGGTAAATTTATACCCTGCCTCCCCCAGTGTTGCTTTGACTGCAGGATTTCACACAGCGGGGCGCTCGCTCGCTCTCTTCTCCGCTCTCCCACCGTTCGCACATGTTGGAAGCACCGTAAAACCTGATAACCCACCCGGGGGCTCCCCCATCCTTAACCTACAGCCGCCCGCATGCAAAACCTGCGTGCAAAAAGAAAAAAAGAAAAAGAAAAGTACGCCGCACGTGAGGATCTTCGAATCCTCTCCTCCCCACACCACTAAGGAAGGAAGAGGGGGAAAGGTTGCGCAGCGCGTGGCGAGTGACACCCGCCACACACACACACACCGCTCCCCCCCCCAGCCTCCCTCCCGGCTGCAACTCAAGCTCGAAGTGGGAGTCGGAGTCCTCCCGGCGTATAAGACGACCCCCCCACTTGGAGGCATGTTTTTCAGGGCAAAAAAGTCGTCTTATACGCCGGCAAATACGGTACCAATCTTCATCTAAATTGTCAGAAAAAAAATCAAACTGTTTATCTCCAAGAGCCAACTCTTGTTTAGAATGCAAATATATCTCTGGAAGTAGTTATCTGTGAGAAAGAATGCTGGAGAGGTGTACAATATGTGAATCGTTCACACTTTTTGTGCTTTGGGAAAGAAAAGAAATGTGACAGACAGCTAAATACTGTGGAAGTGACATCCCTGGCTGGCTGATAAATCCTAGTATTTTGCGTAACTATTTTATGCAAAAAAAAAAAAAAGATGTGAAGAGAAAGATAAACTACACCCTTCCCATGTAAAATGTCCTTCGAACCAAGCTCAACTCATTGTCACTTCATGGCTATATCTAAATAGTTTATTTGGCAAAGTGTTTTGCAGGCACAACGCAAAAGTCCCAGACCCTGCTGGGCCAAAGCAGCATGTTATATACGTAGCTGTAATTTTAGAATAAATTGGAAATTGCCTGTTATTTTGTTCATTAAGGGATACAGTTTGAGCTGCTGGATAGAGTGAGTACCGTATGAATGGCTTTGATCTTTGGGGGTGATAGAAGCATGTTTGGCACAAACAAGTAATTTAGCAGGTGCTTTTGGATTTTTATTTTATTAATCAAATTTGTAGAGCCACCTAATTCACAAAAAGTGACCCTGGTTTTTTCCCCCCAACAATCCAGTAATTTCATGGCTAAAAGGTAGAGACAACGTATTCTTGAAATGAAACCAGTAGTGTTTATTTAGGCTGATGATTTGAACTCTGAGCTTGGCAATTTGGTTGCAAACACTTTGTCACCATTTGAGGAGACATCATCAGTGTGTTTTGAACTGTGTGACAGTTCAAAAGACACTGACGATGTCTCCTCGAATGGTGATGAAATGTTGGCAATCAAATTGCCAAGCTCGGAGCTCAAACCATCAGCCTACCAACCCGAGTTACTAATATTCAGACACATTTCAACCAGTAGTGTTTCTTCTTCTTTGTGACTCCTTACAGGCAGCTTCAATTCCTGACTACAGAGGCCCAAATGGGGTGTGGACAATGCTGCAAAAAGGGAGAAGTATCAGGTAATCGGTTCAAAAGCATTTCTTGTGTTACATTGGAATCCTGGTTCTTGCTTTTCATGCTTCTTTTTTTCCCCATGTATCAGGGCGACCGATCTGAGTGAAGCAGAGCCCACACTCACCCACATGAGCATTGCTTGTTTGCACAACAACAAACTGGTAAGTTCTTTGATTTTCAGTCCTGCGCTTCTAAGACCATATTCTTACAGCGACTCTTAGATTTACTGCATGTTGTATCTTCAATATTTGTCATATTGTTTCTAGATGCTTTTGTAAAAGATGTACAGAGTATGTTGATGTCACTGTCTAAATCTGCTTTTTAACCTGGGCAATTTTAAGATGTATGGACTTCAGCTCCCAGAATTCCCCAGCTTGTAGTGCTTGCTGGTGTTGAAATCCATACATCTTAAAATTACTGAGGTTGAGAAACACTGGTCTGAATCATAAATGTGCAAACTGACATGCAGAGGGGCTGGCATTTCCAGCACCCTTACACCTCTCTTTTATTGGCTTTTCTTGCTTTCTTTCCCTGCTTCATCTCACTTCTTCCACTACTTACTACACGCCTTCTCTTTCTGCTATTGGCTTTCTTCTTTGATTCTTATTTTTATATCAATCTTCTCCTGACAGATTTTTCCTCATATTTTTTCTTGCACAGGAATCTCAGTGCTTAAAGATTCTGAATGCTTAGCTCAGAATCTCAGTGCCAAAGCAATTTCTGTTAACACTGTAATAAGCTACACTTTAATTTTTTATATACTTTATACACACAATTTTGAAATGCTTTTTAAACTTGAATGGAAGTGAAGTGGAAACTTTCAAGATGTGGAAGAGAAGTACATTACACTTGGTAACCATAGAATTTAAAACTCAGCCTTTTGGAGGGCAGTCCATGGCCTAGCAGTGCTTGCCTAGCCTGTAATACATACTCTCTTTGAGACATGCTAATAGCTTTATCTGTTTTCAGAAAATTAGTTTCTGATCTTTGGAATTCTTTAGGAAACAACATTCTGCATCTCGTATTCTTACACTGGGTATTCAAATAGCATAGTCATTAAATCTTCCATTTCTCTGTCTCAGACCTGAAATAGTTTTTAAGACCATGATGCTCAAACTTGATCAGGGAGGATTGATTAGCCATTGAGTAACCGTATATTTCAGTGTCTGTAAACTACTTCCAATCTGACAGTTAGGGAGTTCAAAACAATTTAATTGCCTGCTGCCAATCAACAAGTAACGGCTTGTCCTTGACCCATTCATTCAGCAACCATTTGAGGTTAGGATGGCACTGAACCAATCATGATTACCATCAGATGTCAATCTAACAGTCACGATCATGATCTGAGTGCTTAGCAATCCATTCACAATTACATCTGATTGCCAAGGACCCATCAATCACATCATCATCATTTGTAATCTTTCCTGCTGATTTTCCCCAGAAAATGAATGGGGTTGCATTTTTTTGAAATTCAAAGTTGCAGGTCACTGAGGTAAGTCTTCCTACCCAGGGCAGCCTTTCCCACTCCTCTGTACTTGTGCAACCCCCTCACACATCCTCAACTCACACAGCTCCTTTCATGAACCCCTTTGTGCACTGTCCCTGATTCTCCTTCACATCCTGTGCTGCATCTCTCGCACATCCTCCCCTGCATGCCTGTGTCCCCTTGGTCCCTCCCCACCTGGGAGCAACCACTTACCTGCCTGTGGGCCTGGGACTTGCAACTTTCTGCTGGCTTCCCTGTGGGTCATGAAAAGCTGGCAGGAAGCTGCCCTGCCTAATGTCAGTGAGATTCAGTTAATGATGACAACCAGGACTGCAGGAACCACTGATGTGGCCACAGTTTACAACTGTACTGCTTAGCAGTGAAACATTCAGTTCTAATTGCTTTCATAAGTCAAGGACTATTGTAGTGAGAAAAAGAAGATAGACTTTTGTACAATATAAGGATTTTGTTATTGTATTTTGAATGTGATTGAGCAAGGACAAAGGAAAAGAAGAAAACATCTTTTCTTACTGTCTATGATACTATTTCCAGTTTCACCCCATTTTCTTATTCTTTTTAGGTAAAGCATGTAGTGTCTCAGAACTGTGATGGGCTTCACTTGCGCAGTGGCCTCCCTCGAGAAGCCCTGTCTGAGCTGCATGGAAACATGTATATAGAGGTGAGTGCTTAGAGAGAGTGAGATTTGGTGCATTGTCATAGAAGAAAAATGCTAATGAACTTTATGATTCCATCACAAACTAGGTTTGCACATCTTGCACACCCAATCGTGAATATGTACGAATATTTGATGTGACAGAGCGCACAGCCTTGCATAGGCACCAGACTGGGAGATTATGCCATAAATGTGGAGCACAGCTGAGAGATACAATTGTACACTTTGGAGAGAAGGGTATTTTACAGCAACCCTTGAACTGGGAGGCAGCAACAGAAGCTGCTAGCAAGGCTGATGTCATACTTTGCTTGGGGTCTAGCTTGAAGGTAAAATTAAAGAAATATCTTTTTTGTAAAAGTGTTATGGTTTAAGATGTATTCTTTTTTACTATGTATAGGAAGCTTTTGAGAAAATACTGAAAATTAATGATGAACTAATTGAGATTTTAGTTTCTAGTTTTCAAGATTTAGCTTGCAAAAATAGAAATTGTTGAAACCACATACAGGTAATCCTCGACTTATGACCACAACTGAGCTCAACGTTTCTATTGCTAAGCAAGGCAATTGTTAAGTGAGTCTTGCCCCATTTTACAACCTCTCTTGTCACAGTTGTTAAGTGAAACACTAATTAAGTCCACAGTTGTTAAGTGGATCTGGCTTCCCCATTGACTTTGCTTGTCAGAAGGTCAAAAAGGTGATCACGTGACGTGGGACACTGAAACTGTCATAAATTTGAACCAGCTGCCAAGCATCTGAATTGTGATCACAGGACCATGGAGATACTGCGACGGTAATCAGTGTGTTAAAAACAGTGATAAGTGCCGTTGTAACTTTGAATGGTCACTAAATGAACTTCTGTAAGTCAAGAACTGCCTGAAGTTGCTTTCCTATTATCCCTTCAGTATAACCTTACAGATTCTTTTTAGTATAGCAGCAATCAAATCATGTGCCAAGCTTTTTATTTTTCTCAGTGATCTATATTTCTGTAGATATGCTGAACATTAATGAATACAGGTTTGGGAAACAGCTGGACTGGGCAAGAAATTAAGCTCCTAAAATTATATCTGAAAAGGAGAAGATAGTATTTCCCCCTAGAATTAAAAAAACAAATAGTAATTAAGTACAGGTAGTCCTCAATTTACAATTCTTTTAGTGAGTTCAGAGTTACGACAGAAAAGTGTAAAAGTGACTTATGATTTTTCACACTTACGATCATTGCAGCATCCCCATACATGATCAAAATTTAGATGCTTGGCAACTGACTCATATTCATGACAGTTGCAGTGTCCTGGAGTCATGTGATTCCCTTTTGTCACCTTCTGACCAGCAAAGCCAGTGGGAAAGCCAGGTTCACTTAACAGTTGTGTTACTAACTTAACAACTTATTCACTTAACACCCATGGCAAGAAAGGTCACCAAATGGGGCAGTGGTGGAATTCAATTTTTTTTACTACTGGTTCTGTGGGCGTGGCTTGTTTGGTGGGCATGGCTTGTCATGTGACTGGGTGGGTGTGGCTTAGTGATCATGTGACTGGGTGCGCGTGCTTGGTCATGTGACTGGGTGGGCGTGGCTAACTCAATGTCACTCACATCAAGGGGTGCCTCACCTGGCCCCTCCCCTCCCAGCCATTCCTTGTCACCCAGTCTCAACTTATCTATAGTTCTGTAAAAATGTTGTTCACCTTTTTTGACTTCATTATCTGCATACTATAGATGTACTTTCATGGACCATCGAAAGGAGGAAATGGCTCACATGCTTTACTCAAGAGTGTGAAAGGCAACAGGCTTTTAAGGGGCTGCCACAAAGAAAGGGGGACAATGTATTTTCCAAAGAAGCAGAATGCAAACAAGAAGCAATGGATGGAAACTGAACAGAGAGAAGCAACCTAAAACTAAGGAGAAACTTCCTGACAGTGAGAACAATTAACCAGTGGAACTGCCTGTCTCCAGAAGTTCTGGGTGCTCAATCACTGGAAGTTTTTAAGAAAAGACTGGACAGCCATTTCTCTGAAATGGTACAGGGTTCCCCCCGAGGTCCCTTCTAAGTATTATTCTGACACATTTCTCAGGATTTCTACTCAGAGTTTGGCATCCTCAGTTTTCTTGCCTGAGCTGGGGGTTGGACTAGAAGACCTCCAAGGTCCCTTTCAACTCTTGTTAAACACATGTGTATTTTATGCTCTGGACTATTGACATTGAATGCATGTAAACCCTGAAAAATATGTGGTAGCCCTGGGCAAAAGAAAGGCAGAAAAATCACTCTAGGTGTAGGGACAGTGTAAAATATTAACACATAAATAATGGAAAAATTAAAAATAATAGCACAGAGTTTTATCTCTCTTCCTATTTTTT